CGCCGTGTCTGAACCCCCGAACTCGTATCGGTGAGACGCACAGGGAAGCCACATCCTCTTGCGCTGTAGGGTTAATGCTATTACACCGACGCAGCTTCAGTTTAACGTGTAATGAAGTGCATGACCCAAACAATTGGTCGCCTTGCTTCAACTCTCGACTCCCTTATCACCTCAATTCCTAGCCTAAATATAATCGCGGCGACTGGAACACGGAACTGCATGGGGAGTTGAGACGCGAATGACAATCTCGGAACATAATTACAGATGCGATATATACGGTTGCAAATCGATTTCGTTGCCACCGCAGTCTGTGGGATTGTCAACGCGTTCACGTGACGAACATTAACCTCAATAAAAATTTCCACGTCTGCGCGATTGTCAAAAGCCCGGAGAGTCCACGGTTTTTAAATTCGTACGAGTGCTGGCCATGTTTATGACGCTGAAGTAATGAAGGAAGAGATTCTCTACTCTTCCCATGCTGTCAACCCAATCGGACGACATTTATGAATATTGCTGCTGCTGCTGCTCCTCCGCGTGCTTCCTTACGACGACGGCTTCTTTTATCATGCGCACTAATCTTTTTTGTCAGAAAGACGAAATCGCGCTGCGGATAGATTAACTCCAATGATGAGCGTGATGTTGAGGTGGCTCAGGATGCAGTGGAGCCAAACAGAAAGAAATTACAGTGACGTATAGTGCTATTATATACAAATGCATTGTCAAAGACATTTCAATGATGCAACATTTATTTAATAAGAACATATTATTGCACGTATTTATTGTCTGATGTATGTATGCGTGTGCGCGCGTGTGTGTGCGTGCGTTCGTTCGTGCGTGTGTGCGTGCAATGCACTGTCTAATTGTATTCATATAAAGCGTCCGGTTGCAGAAATTTCAAAAATCGCATCGCAGTGCCTTTGTAAATTGTTAATGCCCTTGCGTAATTGGTTTTAGGCCTTTGGTCCCCATTTCCGACAACAAAATACAACCCCGTCATCGTATTGTATTTAATTTTATTGCCTCACTTTAATAATTAGAAGCAGTTGCGTAGCTTGACGTTGGGTAGCGCTGGTGAGCCAGTAATAATAGGTATACTAATTATTACTTTATTTTTAATTATAAGCAGCGGTGATATGACATTTTTTCTCGCTTACGCACATAAGATAAGGCGCTTAGATTAAGGCACATATTTTACGTAGTGTCTCCAAAGCTAACGGATATAGTGTCAAATTAAATGGCGTACGTAGACCTGATCGATGCATTGTATATGTGCTCTTCTTAGGCGTATCTGGACGTATCTGCTATCTTGGACGTATCTGTTCAATGAAATTTCATCCACATCGCTGAATTATTGAGCGTTACCCTCGCAACTGTCTATCTGACGATGTTTGTGATAGCCAGGCATACTCAGTCCTGTGTCGATTCTGTCACCACCTGTACAGCTGTCGTGGTTTAATGGAAGCGTGCTACTTAGTCACTGAGGCTAATACTGAGTGCCATAGTAAAACATTACCTGCGATAGGAGAAACGAGGGCGCCGTGAAAGCTATACATTGATGCGAGACGGCTGGAAGAGAAGGGGAACGAGCCATATTGTAGTGTTTCAACGAGGGGCAAGCTTCACGTACTGTATTATCATAAGCGGATTCGTTAGTTAGTTGAACAATATATCGATGTTTTGTGAGCGATTTTTATCATATCCAAGAGATAGTCACTGTAGCCCTAAAATTATCCGCATCTTTTATGTAATTTTGCAATGTATATTTTGCATGATTCGGTGACATTGTGGGGGTACTGGGGTGTCCTTATGCTGTCTATTTTTTAATAAAAACCCCAAATGTTCTTTAAAGGAAACACTATACATACATAATACAGTAGCATAGACACAATAAATATAATAAACATTGTAAATGGTTGTAAATAAAGGCTACAGTAGAGTAATTTTAGTTGGTGCCTTTTGTGGTAGTTACAAGAATACACAGATGGTTGTTTTTGCCATGATCGTATAGCGAGAGCCTCATGATAACTTTAATAGGAGTCCGGGGAGCTGTGAAGCGTCACTGGCCCTTCCCCTGCCATGATTGTAGATGGGTGTGTAAATAGAGGGATAGAAGCAGCAGCAGGTTTGAAAGATAATTTCAGCTTCAACTGTTTGCCATGCTGATTATACTACCCGATGACAAGTTCTCTAAAAGTGCGAAAGTGTTCATTATAAGCACATCACTGTTGGCTGACACATCACTGTAATTGATAACAATATCAATCGCATCTCGTACACCTGACATTTTGTGTGTGTTTACGGGCACTTCACTCTTCATCTCTTCATCACTATCATCGTCAATGTCTTCGTCGTCTTCCTCCCCAGTTTTTTTCCAGTGCGGACGGATAAATCTGAGGCAGCGGATTTTTTTCCGTTGCTCCTGATGTCCGCTGAATCGAAGTCCATTAGATCAAGGGTAAATTGTATAAATTTTAATCTTTGTTTGAGGGTTGTTTAAGATACTAACCCTATCATAACAATGTGACATAAGAGTTAAAACGTAATAAGCTCATCGTAATCAGTAAGCAACACAACAATCAACATCAATTATTTCAATCTTCCTATATGTCCTAAATCTTTATACTAATGAAGTTTTTTTTTTATACCACCAGCTATTTATTCTACTGACTTTATTTATATATTATTTTCTCTCTCTCTCTCTCTCTCTCTCTCTCTCTCTATATATATATATATAAATATATATGGAAAGGGAGATGGAAAAATATAAAGTAGTTAGTAGAATAAAGAAGCTGGTATATATATATATATCATATATATATATCATATATATATATACTTACAGACCCTAGCCGACAACATATAGGTAACATTTGGTAAGATATGATTAGCGTCCAGCACGAATCTGTCGCTAATACTCTAGTCTCTAATATGGCTTCATCTCACGCTTAAGGAGATATTGTGAAAGAGGTTTATCATATAAGTGTACCCGCTGGTAAGCTGGTGCGATGAGGATAATTGAGGGGAGAGAAGGAGGAGGATGTGGAGGGGGAGGGGGATGGGAGAACGAGCCGAAAGACGTAGAGAAATTGGAAGAGATAGAGGAAAACGCGTAGGGAAGTGGATGAGAATGTGGAAGGAAAGGTAGGATGTGCAGACAGTGACACAACGATTGATGTGTCCAGTTTTCCCAATTTTTCTCTACCTCCTCCTCCTCGTCCATCATTACACCCTACCCTGCCTCTCCTCATCCTCCCCACCATCACGCTCTGCCCTGCCTCTCCTCCGTTCCCCCACTATAATTGTTCGCATTCGTATCAAATGCGTGTGTATGATGTTAATGGATACACATACACACACGCGCGCGCGCACACGCACACACGCGCACGCACGCACACGCGCACGCGCACGCGCACACACACACACACACACACACGCACGCACGCACGCACGCACGCACG